GGTACTAAATATGTTTTATATACTGGTATGTGGAGTCAAAGGTCAAGTCGCCAAGTACATCTGTACCGTGTATTAAGGTCCAGATGCACTGTGCTGCGAGATAGAAATAGTTGTGGCGGTCTGTAAATAATCAAGTCTGGACCAGACAATCCAGTGATCAACAGCATTGGCATCGGTCTAGGCAATTGGGAACCGATGACATGTGGCATGTCAGCGAGCCTGACCACCCGATCCCATTAGTCGCCTTTTATGACAAGCGTGGATTACTGAAGATCAATATCCTTACCCGGATCTTCACGGGTATCTGACATGGATAGACACGGATAGACTTGGTGCCAGGTGTGGTGGGGTAGCCTAGTGGTTAAAGCGTTAACTCGTCACGCCGAAGGCCCGGGTTCGATTCCTCACATAGGTACAATGTGTGTGAAGCCCATTCCTGGTGTACCCCGCTGTGATATTGCTGGAATATTGTTAGAAGATGCGTAAAACGCTTCTTTTAATTCGGGGACACTCATTCAAACTAACACACTCTCATCGGCTCCACTCTCTCACGCACGCACGCACTCTCTCTCTCTCTCTCTCTCTCTCTCTCTCACACACACACACACACACACACATTTAGGCTTATAATCATTGTGCAACGTGTGAATTCCGGTACCAGACAGGAAAACTACAACAGGCCTGAAAATCCTTTGTTGCACATTAATTACCTATTCCTTTGGGATATACTCTAAATCGAAAAGACTAACGATTGTACGAGATACAAATAAAAGAGTGAGTTGAACCGAGACATGTCTCAACAATACACCGCCATCACCCTGACGATTACTACATTAATAACTTGTGTCACGAAGCACTGTCAAGTCCCTCACCGCTTAGTTCATACAGTTTACAAGACACCAACAAGGCTCTCTGAAGCAATTACTCGACATGTGTTCCACAGTGCCTAAAGCTAATCCCTTATCAACTTCATTCAGTCCCATGGACAGGTAAACTATTGATGTTCAGAGTCGGTATTGGCGACTCCATCAAAAAACATAAACACACATGTAGCTCACCTTATTTAGCTTAAATACGAAAATTGAGGTATTTGTATGAGAGATGGTACTCATAGCGACGGGGAAGCCTTGCTATTGTGAAAATCAAATGAACTATATGTCGAAGGGAGATCAACTCTGTTTCGGAGAGAAAGGATTGTATATTCATAATACCACCTGTGTCAAGAGCCCTGCAAGCGCCCGCTTCCTCCCTTCGAGGCCAGGTGAGCTAACTGTTTGTGTTTTTTTGTTCTGACGCATCAACATCAACTGACGCCTCCGGCTTAGCAGCATTCCTTGTGATTCCGTCTGACGCATATCTGTGGGACCGTTCACCGTCTGGTTTCTATCTGTGAGGTTCGTTCATCGTCTGGTTTCTGTCTGAGGTGTACGTTCATTGTCTGACTACTGTCTACAGATGCGTCTGCACGTCCTCCCCTCCTCCAGAAGCATGGATCCGATACGTCGGGGAACATTCAGGTGGTTCGCACTATGCGTCGTCCTCACCACATGCAGTAAGTAGCACATCATGTTATTCTTCTGTCATTCCTCTGGTCAGCTATGTTCTGGACGTAAACAGTATCGAGATGGCAGGATTTATATAGTAGGATTGTAGATGGGCTAAACAGCTTCAGGAGAGAAAAGGTGGGTCGTAGAAGGCAGCTTGGTGGACAACGAGGAGGAGTTGACGGAATTGGAAGGTTAGAGTGATAAGAGGTAAGAGTTTAGGTCTTCATGGCAGCTCGGATTTGGGGGTCGGAGTTGGTGGGATGGGTAAGATGGGCTAGCTTGGGCAACGCAGGACTGGTGAAGCTTAAGTTCTTATTGGTACCCGTTCTATCATGTATCGAAGTGAGGAAGCGGGCGCTTGCAGGGCTCTTGACACAGGTGACATTATGAATATACAATCTTTTCTCTCCGAAACAGAGTTGATCTCCCTTAGACACATAGTTCATTTGATTTTCACAATAACAGAGAAGCAGGTTCGGTGAAGTAGCCTAGTGGTTAAAGCGTTTGCTCGTCAGGCCGAAGACCCGGGTTCCATTCCCCACATGGGTACAATGTATATTTTAATGTCTTATCTCCTGTTTTTCTTTTCAGATACGTTTATGACATATTCCTATAATGTTTTAGCATTTTAGTATTTATTTGTCTCTCGTAAATCACTGGGCGATTGGTTGTATATTTTATAACTTTGTACATATTCTATGGACTATAGCAAGTACACAAGTGGGACGATAATAAAATATCGATTGACTTAAAAGGAAAGGTAGAGCTGGAGGAGGTACGTTGTGAAAGTTGTGTTGAGACGGTTTATGGAAAAGAGAAAGTGGGCTTGGGTAGGTTTCTTGTATAGGTGGCGCTGAGATGGTGAGTGGAGTGGAGAAGGTGGGCTGGAAGAAGTGTGGTGTGACGGTGGCGCTGAGATGGTGAGTGGAGAAGATGGGATGGATGAGGTGTTGTGTGACGGTGGCGCTGAGATGGTGAGTGGAGAAGATGGGCAGGATGAGGTGTTGTGTGACGGTGGCGCTGAGACTGTGGGTGGAGAAGGTGGGCTGGATGAGGTGTTGTGTGACGGTGGCGCTGAGATGGTGAGTGGAGAAGATGGGCAGGATGAGGTGTTGTGTGACGGTGGCGCTGAGACTGTGGGTGGAGAAGGTGGGCTGGATGAGGTGTTGTGTGACGGTGGCGCTGAGACTGTGGGTGGAGAAGGTGGGCTGGATGAGGTGTTGTGTGACGGTGGCGCTGAGACTTTGCGTGGAGAAGGTGGGCAGGATGAGGTGTGGTGTGACGGTGGCACTGAGACTGTGGGTGGAGAAGGTGGGCTGGATGAGGTGTGGTGTGACGGTGGCGCTGAGACTGTGGGTGGAGAAGGTGGGCTGGATGAGGTGTGGTGTGACGGTGGCGCTGAGACTGTGGGTGGAGAAGATGGGCTGGATGAGGTGTTGTGTGACGGTGGCGCTGAGACTGTGGGTGGAGAAGGTGGGCTGGATGAGGTGTTGTGTGACGGTGGCGCTGAGACTTTGCGTGGAGAAGGTGGGCTGGATGAGGTGTGGTGTGATGGTGGCGCTGAGACTGTGGGTGGAGAAGGTGGGCTGGATGAGGTGTTGTGTGACGGTGGCGCTGAGACTGTGGGTGGAGAAGGTGGGCAGGATGAGGTGTTGTGTGACGGTGGCGCTGAGACTGTGGGTGGAGAAGGTGGGCAGGATGAGGTGTGGTGTGACGGTGGCGCTGAGACTTTGCGTGGAGAAGGTGGGCAGGATGAGGTGTGGTGTGACGGTGGCGCTGAGACTGTGGGTGGAGAAGGTGGGCTGGATGAGGTGTTGTGTGACGGTGGCGCTGAGACTGTGGGTGGAGAAGGTGGGCTGGATGAGGTGTTGTGTGACGGTGGCGCTGAGACTTTGCGTGGAGAAGGTGGGCTGGATGAGGTGTTGTGTGACGGTGGCGCTGAGACTGTGGGTGGAGAAGGTGGACTGGATGAGGTGTTGTGTGACGGTGGCGCTGAGACTGTGGGTGGAGAAGGTGGGCAGGATGAGGTGTTGTGTGACGGTGGCGCTGAGACTGTGGGTGGAGAAGGTGGGCTGGATGAGGTGTTGTGTGACGGTGGCACTGAGACTGTGGGTGGAGAAGGTGGGCAGGATGAGATGTGGGTGTGACGGTGGCGCTGGAGACTGGTGTGGGTGGAAAGTGGAGGCTGGATGAGGTGGTTGTGTGACGGTGGCGCTGATGGACTGTGGGTGGAGAAGGTGGGCTGGATGAGGTGTTGTGTGACGGTGGCGCTGGCTGAGACTGTGGGTGGAGAAGGTGGGCAGGATGAGATGTGGTGTGACGGTGGCTGAGACTGTGGGTGGCCGGAAAGTGGGCTGGATGAGGTGGTGTTGTGTGACGGTGGCGCTGAGACTGTGGGTGGAGAAGGTGGGCTGGATGAGGTGTTGTGTGACGGTGGCGGAGATGCTGTGGGTGGAGAAGGTGGGCAGGATGAGGTGTGGTGTGACGGTGGCGCTGAGACTGTGGGTGGAAGAAGGTGGGCTGGATGAGGTGTTGTGTGTGACGGTGGCGCGCAGATGGCTGTGGGTGGGAAAAGGTGGGCTAGATGAGGTGGTGGTATGACAGTCGGCGCTGAGACTGTGGATGGTGGAAAAGGTGGGCTAGGATGAGGTGTGGTGTGATGACAGTCGCGCTGAGACTGTGGTGGGTGGAGAAGGTGGGCTGGATGAGGTGTTGTGTGACGGTGGCGCTGAGACTGTGGGTGGAGAAGGTGGGCAGGATGAGATGTGGTGTGACGGTGGCGCTGAGACTGTGGGTGGAGAAGGTGGGCTAGATGAGGTGTGAGGTATGACAGTCCCGCTGAGAGACTGTGGGTGGAGAAGGTGGAGGCTGGATGAGAGGTGTTGTGTGGACGGTGGCGCTGAGACTTTGGGTGGATGGTGGCTGAAGGTGGGCAGGATGTGAGATGTGGTGCGATGGTGGCGCTGAGACTGTGGGTGGAGAAGGTGGGCAGGATGAGGTGTTGTGGACGGTGGCGCTGGACTGTGGGTGGGAGAAGGTGGGCTGGATGAGGTGTTGGTGTGACGGTGGCGCTGGATGGTGAGGTGGAGTGGAGGTGGAGCTGGAAGAGGGTGTTGTGTGATGATTGGCGCTGGCTGGAGAATTAAGGTGGAGAAGGTGGGCTGGATGAGGTGTAATTGTGTGACGGTGGCGCTGAGATGGTGAAGTGGGTGGAGAAGGTGGGCAGGATGAGGTGTTGTGTGACAGTGGCGCTGGCTGAGACTGTGTGAGTGGAGAAGGTGGGCAGGATGAGATGTGGTGTGACGGTGGCGCTGAAGGATGGTGGGTGGGTGGAAGTAGGCTGGATGAGGTAATGTGGTGTGATGGTTGGCGCTGAGTCGTGACTGGAGAAGGTGGGTAGAAGGTGGTGGTGTGACGGTGGCGCTGAGATGGTGCGGAGGTGAAGTGGTGTGGTTATGACAGTCGCTGAGATGGTGGTGGTGGAGAAGGTGGGCTGGAAGTGGTGTGACGGTGGAACAGAGATGGTGGTGGTGGAGATGGGCTGGATGGGGTGTGGTGTGATGGTGGCGCTGGGGATGGTGAGGTGGAAGGTGGGCTAGAATTGGTGTGATGGTGGCGCTGGGATGGTGGAGTGGGTGGAAGGTGGGCTGGAAGTGTGGTGCTGATGACGGTGGCGCTGAGATGGTGGTGGGTGGAAGGTGGGCTGGAAGTTGTGACGGTGGCTGAGTGTGGTGGGTGGGCGGAGGTGGGCTGGAAGGTGTGGTGTGATGTCGGCGCTGGAGGATGGTGGTGGGTGGAGAAGATGGACTGGAGGTGTGGTGTGATGGTGGTTGAAGGTGGAATTAAGGTGGAAGGCTGGATGAGTGTGGTGTGATGGTGGCGCTGAGATGGTGAGAGTGGAGCAGGTGGGTACAGAGGTGTTGTGTGACAGTTGGCGCTGAGACTGTGGGTGGAAGTGGAGGTGGGCTGGATGAAGTGTTGTGTGACGGTGGCGCTGAGACTGTGGGTGGAGTGAAGGTGGGCAGGATGAGATGTGGTGTGACGGGTGGCGCTGAGATGGCTGTGGAGTGGAGAAAGTGGGCTGGATGAGGTGTTGTGTGACGGTGGCGCTGAGACTGTGGGAGGTGGAGAAGGTGGAAGAAGCTGGATGAGTGTTGTGTGACGGTGGCGCTGAGACTGTGGTGTGGAAGAGAAGGTGTGGGCAGGATGAGATGTGGTGTGACATGGTAGCGCTGAGACTGTGAAGTGGGAGAAAGTAAAGGGCTGGATGAGGTGTTGTGTGACGGTGGCGCTGAGATGGAGCGAGTCAGGTGGAGAAGGTGGGCTGGAATGAAGTGTTGTGTGGCCGGTGCTTGCTGAGACTGTGGGTGGAGTGGAAGGTGGGCAGGATGGGGTGTGAGGTGTGACGGTGGCGCTGGAGATGGTGAGTGAAGTGGAGAAGGTGGGCTGGATGAGGTGTTGTGTGACGGTGGCGCTGAGGACTGTGAGGTGGAGTGGAGGTGGGCTAGATGAGGTATTGGTATGACAGATCGTGGCTGAACGGACTGTGGATGGTGGTGGTGGTGGTGGCTACGGTGATGGAGGTGTGGTGGGTGACGGGTGGCCTTGCTGAGACTGTGAAGTGGAGTGGAGAAAGGTGCAGGCTGGATGAGGTGTTGTGTGACGGTGGCGCTGAGACTGTGGTGTGGAGAAGGTAAATGGCAGGATGAGATGTGGGTGTGACGGTGGCGCTGAGACTGTGGGTGGAGAAAGGTGGGCTGGGGGGTGTGATGTGTGTGGTGTGAGCAGTCGCGCTGAGACTGTGTGGGTGGAAGAGTGGGCTGGATGAGGTGTTGTGTGACAGGTGGCACTGAGACTGGAGAGTGGAGTGGAGAGGTGGGCAGGATGAGATGTGGTGTGACGGTGGCACTTCTGAGACTGTGAAGTGGAGAAAGGTGGGCAGGATGAGGTGTTGTGTGACGGTGGCGCTATGATGGACTGTGGAGTGGAGAAAGGTGGGCTGGATGAGGTGTTGTGTGACAGGTGGCACTGAGATGGTGAGGTGGAGTGGAGAAGATGGGCTGGATGAGGTGTTGTGTGACGGTGGCGCACAGAGACTGTGGGTGGAGAAGGTGGGCTGGATGAGGTGTTGTGTGACCGGTGGCGCTGGAGACTGTGGGTGGAGAAGATGGGCAGGATGAGGGAGTTGTGGTGTGAGCGGTGGCGCTGAGACTGTGGGTGGAGAAGGTGGGCAGGATGAGGTGTTGTGTTACGGTGGCAGCTGGAGACTGTGGGTGGAAGAAGATGGACTGGATGAGGTGTTGTGTGACAGTGGCACTGAGAGACTGTGGGTGGAGAAGGTGGGAGGCTGGATATGAGGTGTTGTGTGACCGGTGGCGCTGAGACTGTGGGTGGAGAAGGTGCAGGCAGGATGAAGAGGTGTTGTGTGACGGTGGCGCTGAAGACTGTGGGTGGAGAAGGTGGAGGCAGGATGAGATGTGGTGTGACAGTGGCGCTGAGACTGTGGGTGAGAAGGTGGGCAGGATAGGGTAATGTGTGACGGTGGCGCTGAGACTACAATGAGTGGAAAGGTGCTGGGCTGGAGTGAGGTGTGGTACTTGACAGTCGCGCTGAGACTGTGGGTGGAAGAGAGAAGGTGGGGATGATGATGAGGTGTGAGGCCATGACGGTGGCGCTGGGAACTTTGGGTGGAGAGAAGGTGGGCAGGATGAGATGTGGTGTGACGGTGGCGCTGAGACTGTGGGTGGAGAAATTATGGGCAGGAGTTGAGGTGTTGTGTTACGGTGGCGCTGAGACTGTGGGTGGAGAAGATGGACTGGATGAGGTGTTGTGTGGCGGTGGCACTGAGACTGTGGGTGGAGAAGATGGGCAGGATGAGTGTTGTGCATGACAGTGGCGCTGAGACTGTGGGTGGAGAAGGTGGGCTGGAATGAGGTGTGTGTTGTGACGGTGGCGCTGAGACTGTGGGTGGAGAAAGGTGGGCAGGATGAGAGGTGTGGTGTGACGGTGGCGCTGAGACTGTGGGTGGAGAAAGGTGGGCTGGATGAGGTGCTGTGGTGTGACGGTGGCGCTGAGACTGTGGGTGGGAAAGGTGGGCTGGATGAGAGGAGGTGTTGTGTGACGACAATTGTGCTGATGACCTGTGGAGTGGGAGAAAGGTGGGCAGGATGAGATGTGGTGTGACAGTGGCGCTGATGACTGTGGGTGGAGAAAGTGGAGGGCTGGATGAGGTGTTGTGTGTGACGGTGGCTGAGACTGTAAGGTGGAGAAAGGTAAAGGCTGGATGAGGAGTGTTGTGTGGCGTGTGGCTGAGATCTGTGGGTGGAGAAGGTGGGCAGGATGAGGTGGTGGTGTGACGAGTGGCTACTGAGAGACTGTGGGTGAGAGAGAAAGGTGGAATAATTTTGAGGTGTTGTGTGACGGTGGCACAAGGAGCTGTGGGTGGAAAAAGGTGGGGCTAGATGAGGTGTGAGGTATGACAGTCCCTTTGAGACTGTGGATGGAGAAAAAAAGGTGGAGCTAGATGAGGTGTGAGGTATGACAGTCACGCTGCTGAGACTGTGAGGTGAAAGGTGGGCTGGATGAGGTGTTGTGTGACAGTGGCACTTTGAACTGTGGAGTGGAGAGAGGTGGGCAGGATGAGATGTGGGTGTGACGGTGGCGCTGAGACTGTGGGTGGAGAAAGGTGGGCTACAGATGAGGTGTGGAGGGTATGACAGTGCAGCTGGGGAACTGTGGGTGGAATTAAGAGCTGAATGAGAGTGTTGTGTGACAGTAGCACTTGAGAACTTTTAGGTAGAGAAAGGTAAGAGCAGAGATGAGACCTGGTGTGACAGAGTAGCACTAAAGAGACTGCGGAGGTGGAGAAAAGCGGGCAAGATGAGAGTGTTGTTGTGTGACAGTGGCACTGAGACTGTATGGGTGGAGAATTAGGCTGGATGAGGTGTTGTGTGACAGTGGCACTGAGACTGTGGGTGGAGAAAGATGGGCTGGATGAGGTGTTGTGTGACGGTAGCACTGAGACTGTGGAGTGGAAAAGTGGGCTGGATGAGGTGTTGTGTGACAGTGGCACTAGGAACTGTATGGAATTGGAGAGAAAATTAGGGCTTAGAGATGAGGTGTTGTGTGACAGTGCTTGCTGAGAGACTGTGGAGTGGAGAAAGAGTGGAGCAGGATAGAGATGTGGTGCGGACAGTGGCACTGAGAACTGTGGAGTATAAGAGAAAGGTGGGCTGGATAGAGAGTAATGTGGACAGTGGCACTTTGGGAACTGTGGGTGGAGAGAAAGGTAGAATAGCATGAGGTGTGAGTATGACAGTCCCTTGCTTCAAGGAACTGTATGGAGTGGAAAGAAAGTGGGATGGATGAGAGTGTGGTGTGACGGTGGCACTGAGACTTTAGGTGGAGAAAGGTAGGCAGGATGAGATGATGGTGTGACTTGGTGGCCCTTCTGAAGACTGTATGGGAGTGGAGAAGGTGAGCAGGATAAGGAGTGTTGTGTTACAGTGGCGCTGAGAACTGTAGAGTGGAGAAGATGATGGACTGGATGAGGTGTTGTGTGAGCAGTGGCACACTAGAAGACTGTATGGAAGTGGAAAATTAGAGCTGCTGGATGAGAGTGTTGTGTGACAGTGGCACTGAGGAGACTGTAGGTAGAGAAAGAGTGGGCGGCGGATGAGGTGTTGTGCGGACAGTGGCGCTGAGACTGTGGAGTGGAGAAAGGTGGAGCAGGATAGAGATGTGAATGACAGTGGCACTGAGACTGTAGGTGGAGAAAGGTAAGAGCTGGATGAGGTATGTGTGACAGTGGCGCTGAGACTGTGGGTGGAGAAAAGAGTGGAGCTAGATGAGGTGTGGTATGACAGTCCTTGCTGAGAGACTGTGGGTGGAGAAGGTGGGATGGATGAGAGTGTGGTGTGACGAGGTAGCACTTGGGAACTTTAGGTGGAAGAAAGAGTGGGCAGGGATGAGATGTGGTGTGACGGTGGCGCTGGAGACTGTGGGTGAAGGAGAAGGTGGGCAGGATGAGGTGTTGTGTTACGGTGGCACTGGAGATCTGTGGGTGGAGATGGACTCCGATGAGGTGTTGTTGTGTGACGGTGGCATCTGAGACTGTGGAGTGGAGAAAGATAGGCAGGATGAGAGTGTTGTGTGACAGTGGCACTTTAGAGACTGTGGGTGGAGAAGATGAGCAGGATATGAGGTGTTGGTGTGACAGTGGCACTAGAGACTGTGGAGTGGAAAAGATGGAGCAGAGATGAGGTGTTGTGTGACGGTGGCAGCACTGAGACTGTGGAGTGGAAGATGGAGCTGGATGAGTTGTGAATTGTGACAGTGCTTGCACACACACAAGAGACTGTGGAGTGGAAAAGATTGGCAGGATGAGGTGTTGTTGTGTGACAGTGGCACTTCAGGAACTGTGGAGGTGGAGAAATTAGGCAGGATGCGAGGTGTTGTGTGACAGCAGCACTTTGAGACTGTGGAGTGGAAGCAGTGGGTAGGATGAGGTGTTGTGTGACAGTGGCACTAGAGAGACTGTGGAGTGGAGAGAAAGGTGGAGCTGGATGAGGAATTGTTGTGCTGTGACAGTGGCGCTGAGACTGGCTAGGTGGAGAATTTGGGCTGGAGGAGTAAGTGAGAGTGAGTCAGCAATATTTCAGCTAGGATGTATATGGCAGCGGTCTGTAAATAATCGAGAGTCTGGACCAGAGAATGCATGGATCAACAGCATAAAGCATAGATCTACACCAATTGGGAAGCTTGATGACATGTGTCAACCAAGTCCTTGAGCACGACCACCTGACCGTTAAAGTCACCATTACGATAGCATGGAGTTGCTGAAGATGAATATCTCTAACCCGGATCTTCACAGGTAATAGGAGTGAAAGAGGAGGTGTGGTGTGACGGTGGGAGGCAGAAGGCGATGAGTGGCGAGAATGAGTAAGTGGATGTTTAGGGAAGGCTGGTGTGAGAGAATTTGAGTGCAAAAGGTTGATCGGACGTCAGGAATAACCTATGGTTATAATACGACTCCGGCGAATTTTATTTGCTGTATAAAATAAACAGGAATAGTCGGAGAAACAAAGGAGAAGCGTCAGAATGCAATACATAATAATAAAAGAATTGTATCAAACAGCCTTAAAAGTAAAACAAAACAGTAGGCTCGGTTTTAAAACGAATTTGACACTCGTCGAGAAAACTATCACGTGCAGTATGCACTAATTTCTTAGGTTGGTGAGGAAGCACTGAGACAGAACCACCTCATCATTCTCCACCCCGGTTCACACCCATGAAACCCAGCCCTCTCTTTCACCTACACCCCAGTTCATCTACACTTAATTACAAATGCATGTTTCTCTCAGTATCCCTACGATCTTTGATTTTTGTGAAGGTGTTATGCGTTGTCTATTTTAGCAGTCAAAAGGACTGTCAGCTTCTGCTAACTTTAACTCACATTAGATATATTTGTCTATTTAAGATGTATATTGCATCTCAAAGCACATTTTCGACATGATATTTTAATATGATTTTTGAATTTTGTTCCGAGTCAAAGCTTTACATTCTTAAACTATTACATTATCATTTGATGTTACAATCCATTTTAATATGTATACACATTATTACATTATTGTTATAATGAGAAAAATATATACAGCGTAAATAAACGACAAAATATGCCTTTTAACAGACGTGGTTCATTTATGAAATTCTTTTTCCAACTGATAAACCTATATAAGTTAAAATATATTGTTTGTTTAAATACAGATTGAAAGAGTCCATGTTACATGAGAGGGTATACATCATCTACAGTGTCTATGTAAGACCCCCATTACCCCTACACTTTTTTACCCAAAAAAGTTTAGGTGAATTGTGAGTGTAGGTGTAATGGGCCCCTACCCCTGTGGCTCAGTGGGGTTCAGTACTGAACATGATCTGTTCTTCTCACGTCACGTTTCAAGTGAAAAACCGCCATTTTAACCCGTCAAAATAGACATTTAATTCATACTATAAGAATGTTTAGGAGCTTTTTGCAATGTAACAAAACATTGGGGTAGCCTTATGGTTAAAGCGTCCGCTCGCCACGCTGATTCCCTACATGAGCGAAGCCCCTCTCTGGTGCCCCTCGCCGTGATATTGTTGAAATATTGCTTAAAACGGCGTAACGCTATACCCAGTCACTCTTAGACGGCCAAACATTTTCTCACCATGCACTATGCCTGCATATTCGCAACTACGCTTTCTGGCTTTCCATTGAAACTTCAGAATAATAGGACGTCGCCATAGGTTTATGAGAAAGAGGGAAGAGCAGATTCGGGTTGTGACAATCGGGTGTATGCATACAAATATTGTATATAATTCATACAAAACGTAGCAGGTACTATTATGCAAACCAGTATACCTACAATCAGACACAGGAAGCAGGCACATGCAGTCGGCCTTGAATGCATGATGGATTTCTGAGATGAACTCTCGCCAGTTACACAGGCCTTTGCTCTTGAACGATCATGAAGATGATTTGGAGATTTTACGTGTGCTCTCAATGGTATCGTTAAAATTATTTATACACGTACTTATTATATCTCAAAGCGGCATTGACTGTGATGACCAATCAGACAGCAGAACTACAGAACAAAGAGCATCCCCCGCATGAGTACACTGTCGGT